CTATTGTTTCTGCTGAGAAATCAATTGATAATCTTATTTTGGATCTTTTCTATCTGATGAGTCACTTATCTTATTACTTTCAAGATCCTATCCTTGTCTTTTTATTTTTTTATTTTTTTTATATTTTTATTTTTATTTTTAAATTTTTTTATTTTTATTTATTTTTTTTAATTTATTTACTTTTTAAATACATTTGTCTCTGCCTCCCCCCCACCTCTTTCCCTTGCCCCCTCCCACCTTCCCTCCCTCAGCTCTTCCCCTTTGGTTTTGTCCTATCCTTGTCTTTTTATAGTTTGACTATAACTATCTCATTGTGGGCCTGTTTGAGTTTATCCTACTTGGAGTTTCTTAGATTTGTAGTTTCATGTCTTCAGTCAAATTGGGGATATTTTTGAACATTATTTCTTCAAATAATCTCTCTGCCATTTTCTCTCCCATGTCTCCTTCTGGTACTGCTTGGCTGCATATGTTGTTTCATTTGATGCTATTTCATAGGTTCATTATTTTCTTGCATTTCTGCATTTCTTCATTATTTTCTTGCATTTCTGCATTTCTTCATTATTTTCTTGCATTTCTTGCATTTCTTCATTATTTTCTTGCATTTCTGCTCCTCAGACTGGATAATTCAAATTCTCCCTCTCCTATATCTAAGTTTTCTGGTCCTTTCTTCTGTATGTTCCAATCTGAAGTGAACCCCTGTAGTGAATTTTTCATTTCATTTATTGTAATTTTCAGCCCCAGAATTTTTGTTTGCTTCCTTTTTATATTTTCTGTCTTGTTACTGATAGTCTTATTTTCTTCATACATTGTTTTCCTGATTTTTGTAGTTCTTTGTTTTTCTTTACCTCTTTAAACGTATTTAACACAATTGTTTTAAAGTCTTTTGTAAGTTCAATGTCTAGACTCCCTTAAGGACAGATTCTGCCAATTTATTTTATTAGATTGGCTGTACTTACCTGTTTCTTTGTATGCCTTGTTTTTTTTTTTTTTGTTGTTGTTGAAAACTGAATATTTGAATATTATAATGTGGAAACTCTAGAAATCATATTCTCCCCTTTTCCAGGATTTATTGAGTTATTTTTTTGTTTTTCAATAGAATGTCGTAGTAGTCCAATTGCTCGTTGACTTTTCCCAACTAGTTTTGTGGAGATTATATTCCTTGTTTTGTGGAGTCACTGCAGTCTCTGTTCCTTCTCTTGTGTCTAGCTAGTGTTTGGACAGAGATTTCCTTGAATACCAGGTGCTAAAACAGTCCAAGGAAACACCGTTCCTAGTTTTGCAAATTGGCTATGTGCTAGGGCTCTCCTTTAACACTTAGCCAGAATTATACTTAGTTTAGGGGTCAGCTCAAGGTTTAAGCTTAGGGTCTTCCTCAGGACTTTTATAATATTGTGTTTTCATTTTCATTCATATCAAGGTACTTTCTACTTCTCAGGTGTTTTATGAGCACGCATCTGGTTCTAGGAATACCTATTTTTTTTGTAAAAGCCCTGCATACACAGGTGCTCTTAAGTGCCCTAATAACCCAGAGAAACTGATTGTTTTTTTTCCTCCCAGGCCTTAGGTGATCTCAACCACCTGTATTTTGTTCCTTTGCCTTCGAGTGGCTTTGAGCAATGCCAGTCACTTTTGTGGCCTAGTGAGTTCTGAGTTAGGCGACACGGAGTTGAAAGCCTCGGATCAATCTTTAGGCAGCCCCCAGCAAGTTAGAACAGATCTCCATGATAATTTGTGACTGAGATCATCTTTGCTCTCTCTTGAACCATGGAAGGTGTGGTGCAAGTGTAATTAAAACTGCTGCAAAGCTTTCCTACTGTTTTAAGTTGCTTATTTCTTCATTTAGCTTTCACTTGATTGTAAAGCTTTGCCTGGTCCAGAGTTTTGCCAAAGTAGGTTCTGACAGTTTCTGCTCAGTTTTCGGTATTTCTCTTGGAGGACAGGACCTGAAAGCTGCCTACTCTACCACTTTGTGTTTAGGAAAAGTTTTTAAAGTTAGGAATTTACACATACTGAAAATGTATTTTGTCCTAGAATAAGTTCTCAACTGTTCACATATCCCTTCAGCTCCTCCTGTTAGTTGTTTCACATGATTTCCTTCATCTTCTTAAAGGTCTTTCTTGCCTGCGACTGTATTCGCAGGTTCTGGTGCCATATGGCACAGGCTCACTTTCACAAGCCCAGTTTTAAAGAAACTGTTTGGCTCCTCCTGGGCAGTTTGCCTGCCGATATCTAGGATGCCTATTCCAGGGGCCCACCCCAGTCCTGGCTGGAGCTGAACACTTGGTTCCGTTGTGGTTCCTTGACTCAGTAACTCTTTGTGATGTTTATGGAGTGGCAATGTTTGGAAGTTCAGTAGGTCCCTGCTTTTTTGAAGAAAGCTTTATTCATTGTATGAACTTATTCACTCCCTATTTGTTACTAAAAGGTAGCTACAGAAGCTCACAGAGGAGGTCTCCATTCTGGCTCCTGGTTTTTCCTTGTAGGAATTAGGGCTCATTGGACATTCTCTGGATGCCAGATGTTCTGACAAGCCTGGGACCAGGGCCTAAAATTAAAAGGTCCAGCCCTTGGACTTGGGATCTGCTGGCGGCTCAGGGCCACAGGTTTTCCATTCTGACTGCATTCATTTTCCAGATGATTACATCCTATTTGGGTTATCAGTGCTCCTCTTTTTTCATTTTTGTTTGTTTGATTTTAATTCTAGCCTCTTTGTACTTTTTGCAGTTTCTTAATTTGTCTTTATCCTGTGATTCATCACTTAAATTCTTTCTTTCAGGTTATTAACATAGATTTTGAGTAGAGATGGAGGAAAGGAGATTGAAATTTTTCTTTATTGAGTTATAATTTACACACAATAAAATGTATAACTTTCAAGTGCTCATTTCAGTGGGTTTTGACAATTATATATAGGCTTGTAATCAGCATCCAAAACAAAATATATGTTGATTACTAGGGTTCTTTATATATTCTGGATGTGAGTCAGTCCTTTGTCGGATGTATGTATTGCAAATATTTTTTTCCCTGTGTATGACTTGTCTATTCAATTAATTATTGCTATATTTTGACTCATTTAAATAATTTAAGGAAGCCCCACTTATCAATGCTTTTACTAATTATTAGATCTTTTTGTGTCCTGTCTAAGAAATCTTTACCTACTGCAAGGTTGTAAAGATAGCCATATATTATCTTCTATGAGCTTCATAATTCTGGGTGTTATGGTAAGGTTTAGAATCTATTTTGAGTTAATTTTTGCATCTGACTTGCCGATGAAACAGGAGTCTACTTCCCCGCCCTGCCCCCTACAGATGTTTAATTGTTCTATCACCATTTGTGAAAAGTCTTTCTTTCCACATTGAATTGTTTTGGTGCCTGGTCTAAAATCAGTTTTGGGGTTTATTTCTTCACAATCTGCCCTGTTTCATTGTTGTTTTTACCTGCCTTTATGCCTCTCTTGATTACTGCAACTTTATAATTCCCTACTTGAGGCAATTTTGATATCTTTGGGACATTTGGCAATGATGGAAACATTTTTGGTTGGTACGAATAGGGAGTGTGCTCTCCAGAGTAGAGGCCAGAGAGCCTGTTCAACAGCCTTTGTACACAAGACAGACCCCTGCAATGAAGAATTATTCAGTCCAAAATGTCAAATAGTGCCGAGGTAGAGAAACCCTGCTTTTTATAAGTAGGTCTTGAAGTCACCTAGTGTACCTCTTCCTGTTCTGTATCTTTTCTAAATACTGTTTTGACTATTCTGTCTCCTTTGTAAAGAATCTGCTTACGAATTTTTACAAAAGAACCTCTTATGATTTTGGTAGGATTGCTTGAAAATATAGATTTGTCCAGTATGCTAGCTATTAAACTTTAAAAATAATTAAACCTAAGATAATTAAAATAGTGTAAGTAAATAATTAAAGTTAAATGCAATCAGAAAGTTAGTTTCTCAGTTGTACTAGCCCTATTTCAAGTGCGTAATAGCCACATGTGGCTAGTGGCTGCCATGTTGACTAGCAGAACCAGAGAATATTTCCATCATCATAGAAAGCTCTTCTGGACAGCACTAGTATAGATCAAATTGAAGATTTATTTATTCTCGTGATCCATGAGTATGTTGTTTTTTGTAGATACTCTTTATTAGATTGTAGAAGTTCTATTGTATTCTTAGTTTACTGCTAGTTTTTAATTATGAATAAATATTGAATTTTGTCAGATGCTTTCCCTATATCTGTTGAGATGACCTTATGGTTTTTCTACTTTGTTTAATAGTTTCACTGGTTTACACAGATTAAATCAACGTTGAATTCTTGGTCATGATGCACTAGCTTTTTTATATCGCTGGATATTATTTGGTAATGACTTAGGAATTTTTGCTTCTATGTTGATGAGGTACTTTGGGCTGCATTCTCTGTCATAATGTGCTCCTTCTGTGATATCAAGGTAAAGCTGTCCTCATAGATTATGTTTGGAACTGTTCTAGGAGGGGAGATTCACTAGTAATTGAGCTCCTTATTTTGTGCCACTTTCCAGATGCCATCTCCTTTAACCCTTACAGCCTTGGTAGGAGGTAGTAACATCTCTGTTTTGCTGGTGAGGAACCTCCGCCTCAGAAACGTGAAGTAATTTCTCAAGGGCACATAGCTATAATTGTTGGGGCCAGAACTTGATTCCATGACCAGCCCCTGAGTGATACCTCCTTCTACTGTTTCTTCTGGGTAAACCAGGCTGTCACAGGTCCTTCAGTTTATGAGGCAGAGCCTGGCTGCGCTGGGCTATACTCCCAGCAAGAGAGCCTGTGGGGCTGAGGCCGCCCCTGGGCCCTCTGTGGCCAGTGCCAGGTGGGTTCTCCTGTCTGCTCTTTTTTCCCTAAAGTGTGAGGGTTCCACTTTGCATTCTCCGATGGGGAGATTTCAGTGTCTCCATAGAAATGCATCAGCTCTTATATGGATGCTGTGAGCAGAACTAGGAATTACCCAGAAGCTCAGCATGGATAATCTCTCTTCTAGGATGCCTAGATATCAATTCATCTGTGAAAGGAGCTCGTTTTGTCCGATTCTGTGATGCATTCAATATTCCGCTCATCACTTTTGTTGATGTCCCTGGCTTTCTGCCTGGTAAGTCATTGAAGAGGTGGGGGCCGGGAGAGGTGGCTTTTCTCAGTGAGGTAACCCACTTTATTTGGAGATCTTTTTGCAAAATTCCCTGAAGATTTGTGGCTTCTCCATATTTTGGGTGTCTAGAAGATGGAGCTGTGAGGGTGGTCCTCTCCAGGCCCTTTGGGGAACAGGGGAAGACCTCACAGCTGAGAGTGGCAGGCAGACCTTGTGAGGACTTTTGTGGTATCTAGTAACTCTTCCTCATGACCTAGGCACGGCACAGGAATACGGGGGCATCATCCGGCATGGCGCCAAGCTTCTCTACGCATTTGCTGAGGCAACTGTTCCCAAAGTCACAGTCATCACCAGGAAGGTGAGAAATTTACCCTGGAGGCGGTGAGCCCACTCGCTCCTGGCAGCGCGATCGGTGGCTGGAGGTCTGGCCACAAGTTCAGTGGGGGAAGAGGAGTATACCTCGCTCACCCTTAAAAGGATTGTGTGAGAACAGTGTTTTTAGCCCTGGAGAGATACCCTGCTGAGTCGTCCATGGTCGTCTCTGGGAACCGAAGACGGCAGTGGGAAGGAGCCAAGGGCAGTGAAGGGGAACTGTGAGAGGCCTGTGGCTTGCGCCCGGTGTTCTCTGCTCTGGCTCCCTGGCCTCACAGATGCTGGGCTTCCAGTAGCCCAGAGGGGCTGTTCTTGCTTCTTGTCCTTACTTCATTTGAATTCTTGGGGTCTTTTGGGAACATGATCTGGTTGTGTCAATTTCTAACATTCAGCATTGAGGTCTTTTCTAGGCTTATGGGGGTGCCTATGATGTCATGAGCTCCAAGCACCTTTGTGGTGACACCAACTATGCCTGGCCCACAGCGGAGATTGCCGTCATGGGAGCAAAGGTGAGGCAGGGTCCCCAGCTTTCCCTTCTCCTGGGCCTAGGGACTGTACTCTCCCAGCAGGAGCTTAAAGCACAGCTGGGAAATGTTGTAGTTAGGCCAGGGTCCCCAGGATGGGCCAGGACTCCGGAGACTTGGAGCCTAGGCCTTAGCGAGCCTCCGTCCTGGGGCCCCAGGGCCTGCTCTGCCTCCTGCCCTGCACTCTCATTGCAGGCCCCTGTGGGTATCTTCAGGCTCAGGGTGACAGGAGCCCAGAGTAGGTTTTGAGACTCTCTGTAAAGGGATGAGTTGGCTGAACCAGCCTTTGGGAGAACTGGACATTTCCCCGTCTTTCCGCCTAGGGAGCGTCCTAGAGCCACTCCTTTGAGCCCGTAGAAGATGAACAGTACTGCTGACACGGGTGACTTTGGGCAGGGTACTTCCTGTGGCTTGTCCTGTTCCCTGTGCCTTTCCTGCTTTGAAATAGCTATTGAGGTTCAGTCAGATAACCCCCCAGCTGACTTTTAGGGGTCCTGATGTGAAGGCTTACCTTTAGTTCCCCATACTTCTGTATGTGCAGTTCAGTGTGTGTCCTCTGGCCATGGAATTTTGTACTCAGGGGTCAGGGTAATGGAAAAGGAAGACAGCATTTTACTTCCTCATGATGCAGGGACCGTGAATCTGGTAGTGAAAAATAGGCCACACAGATTTGGGTAAGTGCAATTGGCTGATGGTAGGATGGAAGCTGGGGAGACAAGCTCTTGGCTTTGCCTGGGGTTGCCATTGTCACTGGGGCCACCGCCAAGCACCCCATCATACTGCCCCTGGAAACATGATGGATGACTCCAGGCAGTGCCCACCTCAGTGCCCTGGCACCTGGAGCTGGCCCTTTACTTCAGTGCACTTTGCTTTACCAAGAAGTTTGCAGCCACAGCCAGTGATAACGAGTTGAGGGAAGTCTGTCCAGTTTGGGATCTCCAGTGAAATTCATTAACTCCTCTCATGGCAGGGCGCTGTGGAGATCATCTTCAAAGGGCACGAGAATGTGGAAGATGCTCAAGCAGAATATATTGACAAGTTTGCCAACCCTTTCCCTGCAGCAGTGAGAGGTAGGCACCGTTGCAGGAGGGCAGCTTGGCTCATTTGCTGGGTTGCTTGCTCATTCTTTTTCTACAAAAGGTCCCAGTAACTGCTTTAACTATTACAGTCAAATCTGTAGACTGTTAAGGGTTAGGGTTGGCCCTGGGCAGGCATCACTTAAGGACAGTGGGGCCTGATAGGTTGCTTTGGTAGCCAGGATCCAAGCAACGTTGATGAAATGGCTGAATTTCTTAGTTTTGTTCTAGTTATATAGTACTGTGTAAAACTCCACTACAAAATAGAGTGGCTTAAAACAATCCCTCCCCCCGCTGTTTTTGCTGATGGTTCTGTGAAACAGTGATTTGGTTTGGGATCAGCTGGGTGATTCTTCTGTTGATCTTGCCTGAGATCAGTCATTCAGCTGTAATCATTTGGTGGCTTGACTGAGACTGGCCAGTCCAAGAAGGTGTCTTACATGGTTGGTGCTGGCTCTCAGCTAGAATCCATCTGGTTTCTTATTGTTAAGGAGGCTAGTCAGTGCTGCTTTACAGGATGTTCTAAGGGCAGCAAAAGGCAGAGAGAGGAAGCTACATTGTGCGTTGAGGCCTGAGTTTGGAAGTTGCATGTGTTACTTTTACCACATTTTGTGGCAAGTCATAGAGCCAGTAAAGAAATAAAATATACTTTTTTTTTTTAACCCTCACCTGAAGACATGCTTATTGATTTTAGAGAGGGGATGGGAGGAAGAGAAACATTGATGTGAAAGAGAATTATTGATGTGAGAGAGAAACATCGATTGGTTGCCTCTCGTAAGCATCCTGACTGGGGATGGAACCTGCAACCTAGGCATGTGCGGTGACTGGGAATTGAACCCACGGCCTTTTGGTTTATAGGATGACACTCCAACCAACAGAGCCACACTGGCTAGGCCTAAAAATCTACTTAATTTTTTAAAAAGATTTTATTTATTTATTTTTAGAGAGGTAAAGGGAGGGAGAAAGAGAGGGAAAGAAACATCAATGTGTGGTTGCCTGTTGAGCATCAGTGTGTCATGGCCCACAGCCCAGGCATGTGCCCTGACTGAGAATCACACCGGCAGCCCTTCGGTTTGCAGGCCGGTGCTCAATCCACTGAGCCACATCAGCCAGGGCTGGCATCTACTTCGTAAAGGTTGGAGTGTCAGTGTCACATTGTAGAGGGACTTGCATACAGAAATGGGAAGAATTATAGCTTTTTTTTGAAAATTCATTTATTTTCTATATTCCCTATTGAATTCATCTTGGCAGGGAGGGGGGGGTCACATTTTTCTTTCTCTTTCTTTGTAAAGTTGGGGGCCTGCCAGAGGAATGGAAGCTCCAGGGATTCAGGAGAGAGTTCACAGGGCCTCGCCCCTCTTATATCAAGTTGGGTCCAGCTCACATTGTGGGTCCCGGGGATGGTGCCCAGGCTGAGCACAGGATTGGAGGGTGGCATCATCTGGGGGTGCAGATGATCTTCCTTTTCTGTGCTTCACCAGGGTTTGTGGATGACATCATTCAGCCTTCCTCTACACGTGCCCGAATCTGCTGTGACCTGGATGTTTTAACGAGCAAGAAGGTACAACGTCCTTGGAGGAAGCATGCAAATATTCCACTGTAAACACATCAAAAGAATGTAAACCAAGAGCTAGTTCCCTGGCTATTAGAACTCATCCCTGTCTTTTTTGCAATCATGAAACCTGAGAATCTAAGTAACAGTAATTACTTGGAATGGCTAAACTTACTTAAATTCGAGAAAGATTTCATTTGTGCCTTACTGTAAAATTATTTGCTTGATTAAAAATATTGGTTTATTTCTGAGCGTAAATTTGATTTTTTATGGTAGAAATATGAAAAACAATAAAATTAGACCAAGGAAAACAGTATGTATATAGCACTGTCACCTAAAGCTGTCCTGTATTTAATACCTCCGTGTATTGTGCGTCCACCCTGGCTCCCCACCCCCGCCAAAGAATTATTTTTCTTCCCCTACAGGTGAGATAATAAGCTTTTAAGGGTAAAGTATTTATCTGCTTAGGCTTCAGTTTCCTTACTTTTAAATAATACTCCCTATCTCTTAATCCCTTCAGGACTTGTGGAGGATTGAATTATATACTTGCATGTGTGCGTGTGTGCACGTGTGTGTGTCTAACAAAATAGATCCTCAGTAAGGTGAATTCCCTATGTTATTTCCAGAAACGTGTTCTTCCATTTTAAAAAACTTTCTTATTTTGGAAATTTTGAAACTTATAAATATGTTGCAAGAGTTGTATTATATACCCTTCATGTAGATTCTCCAGTTCTTAACATTTTCTACATTTTCTTCATCTCTTCTATAAATTTATATTATTATTGTTATTGATCCATTTGAGAGGAGATTGCAGAATCATGACCCTTTGTTTCCCCAAAAGGCAATTTATATTTCCTAGGAAACAAGGCTCATTATATTACATATTTTTTTATGACTGCCAATTTTGAAGAGTGTTTGCCAATTATTTTGTTGAATGTCCCTCAATTTGAGTTTGATTTTTCCCCAGATGTTTAGATCGAGGTAAAAGTAATACGTAAGAGTGTTCTGTGTATCACATTAGGAAACATGTGATGTTAGTTTTTCTTCCATTATTGATGAAATTGACTCAGGTCACTTGGTTAAGGTAGTAGTTGCAAAGGTTACCATATTCTCTTTGTAATTAATAAATAATTTGGGAACATTCTTTAACTCTGTCAAGAAACTCTTATCCAATACTTTCAAGTTTCCATGGATGATTCCTGCCTCAATTAGCTATTCTATATATTGAGTATAAAATACTACGTTTCTAAATCTGTCATTATGTCTACATGTATTATTAGTTGGTACTCTATTGGGAGGAGAGCTTTTTCTTCTGTTTTAGTATCAGTTTACACTTGTGGATTTTTAAAAACATTTTTCCTGAAGTAATTAATTTTTCTTACTATGCTATATTACCCTATCAAATTTTCAAGCACACATTGTAGTAGTTTGTTACATTTTTCTCCCTGCCCCATCCTTACCCTACACCAAGAGTCATTTTCTTGAGATTGGGAGCCATATATTATTCATAATTAAAACCTGTGCTTGTTACACAGTAGGTGTTTCCTAAATTTTTTAGTGAATATGTTTATCAATCAAAAAATTTAGATGGCTGTATTTAAAATTTAATTTTATTTTGATGCACAACATTTCCTGATTTGGCCATTGGGAGCTCCTTCATGCTGGCTCAATCCTTTTGATTTGACTCCATAACTTTTTGCATACTTATTTTTTGACACATGATAATATATCAACCCTATAAAAGTGATTTCTCCCAGAGCCCTGGTCTCTTTTTGATGTATTTAGAAGCTGTGAGGTGTCAGTGTTCTAGGTATTTTTAGCAGACTAGGAAATATTTATACAAATATGTATATTTAGGGAATATGTATACATAAATATATATTTTACATGTATAGATACAAAATTTGAAAATCATGAATTCATACTGAAACTTTTAATTCAATCTAACATATTGGTTCTTTGCCTTCCTGTATTCTATATTTATGCCTGTCTTCTCCCACAGCAATAAAATTGACTCCCATTATCTGCAACATATTTTACTCATTTGCTCAATCCTACAATAAATACAAGTTTCAGAACCACTACAACTATACCAACAATGACCTAAGGTAAAGTTCATGACTTTTGTAGTTCTGTCTTTAAACTGAAGGTACATGGTCAAGTTATTTGGATTAGTCACTGGCGATGATTATGCTATCAACTGGAAAGTCAGAGTGCTTTATCTGTTCCCCCTCATCATTGTAGACTGTTTTTATTGAGTATGTAAAGCATTAAGAATCATTCCAGAACTGGAGATTTTAAGTAGTTTCAGCAGAAAAACCAGTGACAGAGTGCTGCTACAGTGGGCCCTATAGGGTGTGCTTTTTTCTGTGGTGAGAACCTTGGATCCTCCCACCACTCATGACTGTCCCTTTTCCTAGCCCTGTGGCTCCAAAGGTCTGTAAGCCCAGCTTGGATGTTGCATCATTTAACACTCATCTTAACCAAAGCCAGTATGTGACCGTCACCCACTTTCCCCATTTCTACCAGCTGTCCCACCATTCCAGGAAGCCAGGCTTAAGCCCTTAAGAGTTATTTTGAGTATCTTCCCTCTCCAGTTGGAGAATGGGACTCTCCGTTTTAGTTGGGCCCTGAGTACTTGTGCGACAGTCTCTATTTTCATCTCTGTGGCCTCCCTCTGAGCCTGTTCTGAGCTAATAGACTAATTGCAGGTACAGATTTTGCTGCATTCCTCTGCTCTAGCACTTCCAGTGGATAATACACTGTTCTCCAAGGTCTTTGGCCTGCATAGAAGGTTCTTGTCTGTCCCTACCTTGCTTGCCTAGATTTTTGATCCCAGTCCTGTTGCCTTTACCTTGGAACACTTTTGCTCTCCAGTCTACTCATGCTTAAGAACCTGACTTCTCCATGAGTTCATCTCAAACTGTGAACACAAACTGTCTTCTTATAGCGGGTTTTAAGCAACTGATTGTCCCCTCCTCTCCATACATGTATTTTTTTTAAGATTTTATTTATTTTTGGAAAGGAGGGAGAAAGAGGGAAACATCAATGTGTGGTTGCACTTTGTGCGCCCCCTGCTAGGGACCTGGCCTGCAACCGAGGCATGTGCTCTACATTGGGAATCAAACCAGCAACCCTTTGGTTCACAGGCCGGCACTCAATCCACTGAGCCACACCAGCTAGGGCCACATGTATATTTGTATTCCTAACTGGGTGGCAAGTACCTGAGGGGCAGATACTGTATTTGGCCAGAGGTTCTTGGTAATTCTCTTTGGAATCTCGTACAGAACCAACAGGAAGACTATTAAGCCATTGGAAGCTGGGAAAGGTGTACCAGACTACTGGACTTTCAGAGGCCTCCTGGCTAAGGAAGAATCATGCAGGTTGGTCATCATGTGGCTCAACAGCTTAACCCTGGCTAGTACAATTTCTAGGTTCAGCCACTCTATGATTTGAACTGTTTTGGTAACCACTGTGCTATATAGAATAGTAGCAAAAACAAGCTCGTGCTTTTAATTTTTTTTCTTTTTGAGAAAGGAGTCCAAGAAGTGTTTTACCATGTTGTGAAATCTGGATGCTGTGAAGGGCTTTGTGCCTGGGGCTGCTATAAGAATAGGGGGAGAGCCCAATAAAACATTGGGCAAGAGGCTTCTAGGAAGCCTTGGAGTAGAGACACTGGGAGAAGTCCCATCGAAAACCAAGCTGGTGGCTGAGGAAAGATGAAGCTGCAGGACCTTGGAAGCTCTGTCAAATAGACCAGCCTCTGTGGACCACAGGACACCTTGAGAATGGTGACAGTGAGTATTCTCATTGTGAATTCTCAGCTGTGAATGCCTTTCCCATCTGGTGTTCTCACCAAGAGGAGAAAGAATAAATGTTGATTCTTATAACCAGTGAGTACTTGGGTTCAACGAGCAGAGTGCTAGCAAGTGTTTGTCTTTAGAGTGAGATCTGTAGAGGGTTGGGAAAACTTGCAAGTGTCCCACACCAAATAAGGACCTGTCCCTCCTCTAAGTAAGTAAACCAATTTGACCTGAGCCACACAACTGAGTGGTGAAGCTGGGATGAACCCAGGCAGACTTTTCTGAATCCAAAGTCTATTTTCTAAACTATTCAGACTGTTGCCTTTCAAATGAGGTGGGATGAGTTCCTAGGGGTTGGTATGAGAAAAGTGGTGGGCTGCTCCACTATGATTGTCTCAAAGGAGCCAGAGCTACTGGATTGAAAAAGCTTTCCTACCTCATCTATCATGGCCAGTCCCTTTTTTTTGAGGTGCTAGAATAATGGGGAGCACATCCATATGCATCCTTCCAGTGCTTGTTAGAAAGTGCTTATATTTTGAGAAAAGTTCTTCCAGTTTCCCTTCTGAGTATGTCTCCCCAGCCCAGCTCCCTTCCTTTCGGTGAACAGATGCTGGTGCTTTAGATGCAGTCTGCCCACTCAGAGAGGCCTCTGAAGGACCCTCACCCCACTCTTAAACCAGTGTAGACTTTACCTGCTTGACAAAATGTATTTCATTTCCTTCTGGTTCCAGAGGATTTTTGGAGAGCTGTGGTTTTATTCTTTTAGTGAAAATGACTGGTCTTCATGTTCTTTTGCACCTGTTATCATGGGCTCTCCAAGAGCGAGCTTTGGGCACTTATTAGGTAGTACCCCAGTCTGGGGCCTCTGTGAAGTCTAGCCAACACATTTGGGCAGATGTGCTAGCCTTGATAGATAGGTTCTGACCATGTCCCTACTGTGCTGGATATTGAGAAGTGACTCCTTTGTGTTCTCGGGAGCGAAAAGCTGTACTTCAAAACATGATGCTTGACAGAGACTCCTATAGAACAGGGCACTTAGGAGAGCAGGCACTAGGACTTTGCTTCCCAAGACGACACTGTTCCACGTTTGATGGACTCAAAAGTCACATTCAGATAATAGCTGGGAAGTTGGCAAGCTTGTCCCAAGATAAAGTCACATGAGTAAAGCCCTGGTCTTGTTTCATAAACTTATACCCCTCAAATGAGCTGCCAGGGAGTCAAACCCATCCCTATCACACTCTTCCTCTTTAGCTGCCTAGAGAGCTCACCTGCATCCCTGCTTTTTCTGTAAGTCATCTTAGGCCACCTAATGAACACAGCCCAAAATACATGGCCAGGCCCAAAAAGTGTAGGGTGTAACCTCTGTAGCACCAGTATCATGAAAAACCCTCACTTTTATGGCCATGTAGAATCCAGGTGGTCTTTAAAGGGCCACTGCTAGGGGGCAACTATGCATAAGCCGAGGGTCTAGATCTCAGGCAGGGGAAGCACCCAGGCTATAGACTGATGGATAGTCCCTGGATGCCTCCTGTAAAACTCAGGCCGCAAGAGACTTCCTCTTGAAGCACAGACAACTTGGCCTATCCATTCTCTCATGGGAAAGCCAGGGAAAGAAAGAAAATTAACAAGCTAGTCCTAAATTTCTGCTTTCTTTAAAAAAAAAAAAATCACTGATACAGTGATTTTGCCATTAAATAACTGAAAGAGTAAACTCTCAAGAGCAGCAGGACAGAAAAATTATCTCTTAAAAGCTTTCCTAGTAGTACAATAGGATGACTACCACAGCCTGATTTTGAATAGTTTATTAAAGGAAAGGTGAAGCATCAGTTTCAAATTGTACAAAAGGAAAAAAAACCTCATATTGCAAATGTACAATTTACAGAATTACTAGCAAAACCAATCAAGGAGACACTGAAAATACAAAATTTCGACTGATTTCAAACTGAACTGGAAACCCATTGGAGTAGCTATTAAGCCTTTTTTGTTGCATGGTAGTCTACAATTCTAAGTCAGCATCTGTTTTCCACATGAGACTCTCAAGCAAAGGATCAATCTGTGCCTGTGCCAGAACACCTCCTAGCTTGCTCCCTGGCCAGAACCATAGGCAAGCAGGGCTAGTGTGGTGGACTGTCCGGTCATTCCTGCCCCTTCACTTCCAGTGAAGTCCACATCTCTGGAAGAAAGCGAGACCTTAGCCCCCCAACTGGAGCCCAGGAATTGCTAAATTAGCAGATAAAACATTTTGGCAACTGAGTTTTATTCCCAGAATATAGAAATGTTGAGGAAAAAAATCTGTTTTGTGTTTGTTTACTAAAAGGATGAAGGAAATCCATTTTGCTTTCCTGGACAAAAGATAATCATTGGGTGCACAGATTTTTTTTTTTTTTAAATGATTTTCATTTTTGGTAAAAGGGCAAGCCTCATGATTCTGTTGCAGCTACTTAAAAAACCAGCCCAGAAACAGTTGTGGGTGGATTGGTTTGGACATTGAAGCTTACTTTAAAAATCAGAAAGGACGCAACTAAGTGGGCTTTTAAAAATAACAATAGTAGCAAGTCATACAAGGTCTAAGCAGACTGTAACCCTAAACCATTGAAGGCTGTCCTGAAGAGTCATAATTTCTTTCCCCAAAAGAATTATTCTTAATATGCACATTTAACACTGAAATGTAGCTGTATTTCAAGGTAAGCTTAGGAATTTCACCCTCTAAGCACAGACTTCTATGCAGCACAGACTTCTATAATTGGTAAACTTAATTCACAAAATAGCGCATAAAGGTATTAAGTGCATGGGAAGTAGACACAGTTATGTTACACTTAAAATTACTTTTGCATGGCAAAGGAGTTATGATTATCTTTTTAAGAATATGGTAGTCTATGTAACTTGAATTTGGCAGGGCATGAAATAAGTGGTAAAAACAGCAAACTGATAACTTGAGAACCATTTTTGTTTTACTGAGAATACTTTATTTGCTGGTAGAAGTTGCTAAAAATGCACAGAACAAATACCAATAGAAAATGTACTGTATTTGAATCCCTATTCTATATAAAATGAACGGTGTACAGCATCTGTTGGAAAAATGGCTGCGTGGACATTTCTTATTTTATGCCCGTTATAAATAAAAATAAACCTTTTTATTCAAGAGTATATAAAATCTGGGAATCCATATCCATAGAGGGCGTGTGGTTTTTGGCAGAGATGCACTGTCAGAATTTCATCTTAGCTTGTCAATATTCTGCTCCTCCATATTTCTGTATTCCATAAAGTCAACCAAATCCAGTGAGCTCCAAAACACTCTTCAGCAATTAAAATGAGCTGCTTACTCATAGGTTTAATAAAAATGGTTAGCTTTTAAAACATAAAAAGGCAAAATGTTAAAACGGTTTTTAAATTGTACAACAGGAAAATAAAGTTAAAAATATTTTTTTACTCAATGCAGAATTTTCATAAAACAGGTGTATAACAGTGTTTATCTTGACAACTGTTTTAAAAATTTAAAATGTTTTCCTCCTTCCAGAAAAAAACACATCTGTTTTGGGTAAGTCCAATGTTAGGACACAAATGATTTTTCAGGTCAGTCTTTCGGAGGTGACATTCACCAACACTCCCTTGGGTAATTTACATGCTCCTCTTCTGTCACTGCAAAAGGGGATTGACCTCAACCATTTGATTAAAAAACAAATCAGACCACATCAAAAGTGTTTTTCCCCATACAAGCTATCACAGTATATAGGCCTCTAGCTCTAAATAATAGAGTTCCAGATTCGTAAGTTTTCTCCAGACTTCAGAACATAGGCATTCCAAATCCCTAGAAAATGAGAAACACAATCATTTAATTCTTGCAAAAAACAAGACCCAGAAATTGTAAATAAAAGGTAGTAATAATTTAACATTTACTGAATCGTCTTCTATGATAGCTGCAGAATCAAAGAAATCTGGCCTCAGCTCAGCTCTCTCTCGCCGATTTCTTGATGGGGGCTGGAAAGAGAAGCCAATTAGTTCATTTTTTCCCCCTGAGACAAATTAGAACAATGAACTGTGATAATAAGCAGCTAGTATTTCCAGTGGTACCATAAATATATAAAACTGTTAAGGGTCAATTCTGAAAGAAAAAGGAGCTGGCTTTTACATGGAGCATGCATTTAAAAAAATAGCTGGCTTTTAATGGTGACTTAGACAAGAAAAAAAGGCTTTCAAATTATGAATTGATTGAATATGTAAATGCCTATAAATAATTTTTGGGCCTATAAACATAGAACATGCCTTTCAATTGTAGCATTATAAAACTGATCAAATGCTAGGTGACGGAACTTCATTAAATTCCCCAAAGCAGGTAGATGGAAAGGTACTGATGGGCTCAGGAAAGGGAAGTTGATAGATTGGAGTGACATGATCTCATGGAAAATCAAAACATACAAAGCAGAATGTTATGGGATAAATTATGTCTCCAAATTCATGTGAAAGTCTTAACCCCAAGTACTTCTGACTGTTATTCTGAGATCAGGCTTTTGAAGAGTAATTTAGGTAAATGGAGGTCCTATGGCTGGGTTTTAATCCAATACAATTCATGTCCTTAGAAGAAAGAAAAGATCACGTAAAGACAAAGGAAGATGATGGCCACCCACAAGTTATAGAGGACTCAGAATGAAATCAACCCTACTGGTAACTTGATCTTAGACTTCTAGCCTCCAAAACTGTGAGAAAATAAACTTCTGCTGTTTAAGCCACCTACTCAGTGGCTTAATGGCAACCCTAGCAAATTAATACAAAGAAAAAGTGATATGATGAATTCTCATGTTCCCATCACCCAACTCCAACAATTGTCAAATATTTGCAAATCTCTCATCAAATGTTCTGTTTTTTTCCTCCATGTCATTTCATCTATAATTACCTTCAATATGTATCATGAAAGGATGGAAATTTTTTAAAAACCCCACAATCATCCACAAGCATTACTATTCCTGATGAAGTGAATGTATTAATATGCCTAGTTAATATTCTGCATTTGGTTGTGTTGGAACATAGGGTATATTGTCACTCTCTAAAGTACAAAAGGCTAGAAACTTCCAGCCAAGATGGAGGGGTAGGTAGGGATGTTTTGCTTCCTCACACAACCAAAAGAAGAATAACAACCAATTTAAAAACAAAAAACAACCAGAGCTGCCAGAAAATTGAACTGTATAGAAGTCCACCAACCAAGGAGTTAAAGAAGAAACATTCATCCAGACTGGTAGAAGGGTCAGAGACAGGCAAGCAGGCAGAGAGGACACATGGCAAGGCTGCAGCTGGCAGACTGGAGGGCCCCACATTCGTATGTGGATAAACTTGGAGGAACAACTGGGGAGTGAGATACACTATGCAACCCAGGGTTCCAGTGCAGAAAAAGAAAACTTCAAAACCTTTGGCTGTAAAAATCTGTAGGGGTTGTGACGGTGGGAGGAACTACCAGTCTCACAGAAGAGTCGTCCGCTGGAGGGGCCCATGGGATCCTACAATGTACAGAAGCCCACCTACCCGGGAATCAGCACCAGAAGGGCATAGTTCGCGTGTGGGAGCAGGGGAAGTGACTGAATCCTGGGCAAGAGCTGATCAAGCAGCATTGTTCCCTTTCTGACCCCTCCCCCACAGACAGTGTCACAGTGCAGCGACCTGGGTTACCCTGCCCCGGAGAATACCTAAGGCTCTGCCCCTTACAATGTAACAGGCGTGCAGAGACACAGAAAGATGGCCCAAATAAAAGAACAGATAAAAACTCCATAAAAAGTACTAAGCGATGAAGAGATAGTCAACCAATCAGATGCAGAGTTCAAAACTGGTAATCAGGATGCTCACAGAAATGACTGAGTATGGATGCAAAATGAAGAAGTAAAAGCTATACAGAGTGAAATAAAGAAAAATATACAGAGAACTGTCCTGGCTGATGTGGCTCAGTGGACTGAGTGCTGGCCTGCGAACCAAAGGGTCACCCATTCAATTCCCAGTGTAGGGCACATGCCTGGGTTGTGGGCCATGTCCCCAGCCGGGGGTGCATGAAATGCAACCCACACATTGATGTTTCTCTCCCTTCCTCCCTCCATCCCTCCCTCCCTTCTCTTCTCTAAAAATAAATATATAAAAATCTTTTAAAAAATATACAGAGAACCAACAGTATAGGGAGGGAAAGCAGGACCCAAATCAATGATTTGAAAGAGAAGGAAGAATAAATTTTCAACTGGAAGAGAATGAAGAAACAGGAATTCAAAAACATGAGGAGAGGCTTAGGAAACCTGGGACAACTTTAAACATCCCAACATTTGAATCATAGGGGTGCCAGAAGGAGAAGAGGAAGAGCAAGAAATTGAAAACTTATTTGAAAAAATAATGAAGGAAAACTTCCCCAGTCTGGTGAAGGAAATAAGACATGTAAGTTTAGGAAGCTCAGAGAGTCCCAAAGAAGCTGGATCCAAGGAGGAACACATGAAGACACATCATAATTAAATTACCCAAGATTAAAGATAAGGAGATAATCTTAAAAGCAACAAGAGAAAAGGAGAGAGTTACCTACCAAGGAGTTCCCATGAGACTATCAGCTGATTCCTCAAAAGAAACCTTAACAAGCAAGAAGGGGCTGGAAAGAAGTATTCAGAGTCATGAAAAGCCTGGAGCTACAACCCAGGTTACTCTATCCAGCAAAGCTATCATTTAGAATGGAAGGGCAGATAAAGTGCTTCTCAGATAAGGTCAACTTAAGGGAGTTCATCATCACCAAGCCCTTATTTTATGTAATATTAAAGGGACAAACTTATCTAAGAAAGAGAGGAAGATAAAAACTATAAACTGACAACAAACTCATAACTATCAACACCTGAACCAAAAAAACCCCCCCCAAACCCCCCAAAAACCAAAACAACAAACCAACCAAGGAAATAACTAGAACAGGAACTGAATCACAGAAACGGAGATCACATGGAGGGTTATCAACAGGGTCAGTGAGGGCAGAGAATGGGGGAAAAGGTACAGGGAATAAGCAGCATAATTGGTAGGTACAGAACAGACAGGGGGAGGTTACGAATAGTAAAGGAAATGAAGAAGTTGAAAAACATGTACGACCCATGGACATGAACTAAGGGGTGGGGGAAATACTGGAGGGAGGGTGGATGCAGGGCAGGGGGGAATAAAGGGCAGAGGGGAACAAAAATGGCACAACTGTAATAGCTTAACCAATAAAATATACCTAAAAAGACAAGGATGAATTGATGAACAATATAGATGAATCTCCAAACACAGTAAGTGAAAGAAACCAATCACAAAAGACCATATATTGTATAGTTCCATTAATATGAAATTTCCAGGATAGGCATATCTATAGACACAGAAAGTAGATTAGTGGTTGCCTAAGGCTTGGGGCTGGGGAGAATGGCAGGGGGTGACTACTAAACGGTATGGGTTTTCTGTTGGGGGTGATGAAATGTCCTTAAATTAATTGGGGTGCCAGTCACACAAGTCTGAGTCAGCCAAAAAACACTGAATCGTGCACCTTAATAATAAATTGTAATTATCTCTCTATAAAGTTGTTAGTAACAATGAAAAAATAAGTACATGAGGCTAGGTTTAGTGAGGTTTTTCAAGAAGGTAGTAAGAAGGAACCAGTTCTCCCTTTGAAAGAGTTCAAAACTGGACTGCTTTGAAAGCAGGTTTGAAAATCACAGAAGCTCATCCAAATGCCTGCAAGCCTCACACTGGTCCTCTCCATTGTTGGTCAGTGTTATCCCCTCCTCCTCACTTCTCTCTTTCTCTCACAGGTTTCTGAAGACGAAAACATCTTACACCAATGCCTTCACATTTTAACACAAGAAAAATGTATTGAATTTCCTTACCAGATCAATAACCATGGTGTCTTCAAATTCTTCATTCATATCTTCTAACTGGCTCCGGGATGACATCATCACATCTTCAAAGATGGGCTCAGCATCTTCCTCCATTAGGCCCCGACTGATAAGGAAAAAGCAGATTCAGATTCACTGAATTTGGAGGCCTGGCTTTCTTATTTAAGTTGTCTAACCAGTGAAAGCATACCTTCCAGTTACAACCTATAGACTGACTACACAAACTATGGTACTGAACTCTAATGTAATTAAAGAGCATTCATTTGGTTCAAAATTTCATCTCAACTTATCAGAAAGAAGTATAATTTAAATGCAATAACAGTAATAGTAGTTAACATTTATTTAGCTATGTAGCCATTCCCATGAAAACTCTAAGCAGTTGGTACTATTATCATCCCAAGTTTCCAAATGAGGAACCTGAGCACAGATTTTATAGCTTGCCCAAAGCCACATAGCTGGCAAGTAGCAGTACAGGATTTAAACAATGAAAACGTCAAGGGCCCATGCCCTCTATTCCTGTCCTACGCTGTGTAACACATCCTGAATTATGATTTTAACTCCTAAGACCAAATATCAGAGAAACCCAAGTCATTCCACAAAATAACCAGCATTACATAGTCATGTTCTTGTGATACTGGATGTGACACTTACACGGCATGCCTCACTCCAGCTCTCACTTTCATGTAGTTCATTCCTGTTCTGTCCTTCCGATTTAAGTCTTCTAATTTTGGCTGGCCTAACCAAGAGATCTGCATCTGAGGACTAAGAGATAGCACTATTATTCATCTTGTGGCAGCAGATAATGAAATTAGCTAATAAGTCCCATGATAAGAAGGCTGTAGTTAGCTGGCCTAATCCCCATGTAGGGGGAGTTAGCTGGATTTATTCCAGGGCCAAGGGTGAGAGCATTTTCAAAGGATCTGCCTTGGTAGCAATGGCAGCATGGTGCCCAAAGAGATTCCTAAGTCTTCAAGAGAAGCTGGTCATGGCTAGTTGTTAGGTGTGAAGGAAATCCCCAGATATGCCTCTTTGAGGTACGTTATTTTGAGCTGAAGGCAATTAAGAAGCAGTAAATGCAAAAAAGGTCCTTGAAATAAATTCTCATTTTATTGGTGACAGATTCTTTAGAGTTAGCTCAGAGCCCTAAGATGGTGGAGGAAAACTTTTTTTCCTCACCTACAGGTGCTTAAATTATCAGCTTCATTCCCCACATCCCTGCCAACCAAATAAGTGCTTCGCAGATCTCTGCATTCAGCTGCTATCATTCTCATAAGTGTTCCTAGCTGAGCAGCCAGTCCCCTAAAGGACAAAAATGATGCTGGCCTGGTAGCTCAGAACCCTCTAGAGTTGAACAAGGCAGGGTACCACAGTTTTTCTCAGCCCTGGTGTGGAGATTGGGAGTCAGGTACATGCTGGGCATCTTCGCCTGTACTCAATTCTTATCAGAACATGAACAATTACATAAACATGCCTCTTGGGACTTTTACAGGTTGTAAACTTTAATAATTTTTAGTAAATAAAATCTGTTGTATAAAGTTCTCTCTAAGAAGCTGTCTTTACATAATTATGTGGGGCTACCACCTTGATTAAACCTATAAATCTAGAAAAGGTGGCAGACTGTAGCTGGGAGGAACTGACAAGTGGTAAACTCAGGGAAGCAAGGCAGGCAGCTCTAATGAAGAAGCACCCACCTTGCAGGAAACTCGTCATATGGTAAAAATCACCCTTTAAGAACACTCAGTTATGCAGTGGCTGACAATTATCCTTTCAGCTTTGAAGAAAGGCAGATCCTCAAAGCAAGGATCTGAACATTTCTAAAACCTCCTCTTTTCATTCCAACCAGCTTAATTTATTGAGTTCAAGTGAGAATTCTCTCTTATCTGTCAGACTATTTTATAGCATTACCCCCGTATGAACAGGAACACAAATAAGGAGCTAAGAGAATTTCCAAGTTGGATGAAAATAACAAAGAAAAAGTTAAGGTATTTTTAAATAGCAAAAGTTACGCAATCACATTTTTCAGAGCACTGGTACTAGAAAATATTTTAATTGCTACTGTGGGAAAAGGTAAGATCTTGATTCTCTCTTAGCAAAAGAGCACCAATTCCTCAGAATTTATCAAAAATCTCACTCATTCTTAGTCCACAAATAGTTTAAGTTTAAAGTATAAACTTAAGTACTATTGATTAAATGGATGATAAAAGTAATACAGCCTACTTAATTTGGTGTTCAGACTAGTATAAGGCTTTTTTGCCAATGAAGTCTTCTTGGCAAGTACCTCAGAAGAAACCGACCTGCCCAATGACTGTGCAAACCCCAACTGAAAATAGCAGTTAGTGAGATGTCATGCACTTTAAAGTCTCTAAACTGTAAACATGTGTTTGCAGACTAAATTATACATCTTCTAATTTAAATTATTTAACCTTTGTGGTTTTGTTTTCTCATGAACTGACCAGTAAAATGGCCTGGCAAACAAAAAGTTTTTCTTAGTTTCTGGTACAGTTACAGGTTTTTTTTGTCAAGAAATGATCTTGTACTACTTACTTGTGTAAAAAGTCGGGTTCAGAACCATGTTCAGACTCAGGTTCCTGAATCTGCTCTCCCATGGGCCGGCTATTCTCCCGCAGGACAGTAGAAGTGAGTTGTGGTGCTGGCAGGGGTCCAGGAGTCTGAATCATGGTGTCAGTCCTATTTAGCCAGGTATTATCCAAACTTTCATCTGTAAAATTCCAGTTAAGAGTCACAGAATGTCAGGGGTGAGGTGAACTCCGGAAGAAGTCACAGCATGGACTTGAACATGGTTCTGGAGCTGGACTGCCTAGTTTGAATCCCAGTTATGTCACTCGCTTGTGTGACTTCGAGTTACACTTCCAAAGTTCAGGTTTTTCATATACAAAATAGGAATATCAATACCTTAACTCAAATTTGTAAGGATTAAATGAGGTAATGTATATAACCATCAAATGTTAACTATCCCCACATTAACTTCTATTCCAAGTCTCTCCATCTCATGGTAAAAGGGGAATGGAGCCAGCTTGAAACCCCTGTAACCTTCCTTTACTCAAGCAATAAAGGGCCTATGGGTCTTAAAGGGGCACAATGCAGCAGCACTTAAAAGTCTAGATGGCCTTTGCTGAGAAATCAACAAATCCTGTTACACAATTAAACACTGGCAGCCAGAGGAAAAAAGTGCTTTTCCAGGTCATTCATGTGGGGAAGGGTGGAAAGGCTCAACCCTGTTTCCATGCCTCAAAGTCCTCCCTCTTCCGGGAAATCTTCCCTGATCACCCACCCAGCCCCACTTACCATTCTCTTTTAACTTCTAGGGGAAACAGAATCATAACACACTGTCCTGTATTGTTAGGTTATTTGTCATGTGCATTATGTTATCTCTAATTAAAGTTTCTTCAAGAGACTCGGAACTATTTCCTTCTGAAGATGATTAGATTAAAGCATTTGCATACCTAAACCATATACTAATAAAATACTACTTAATTAGCCCTGGCTGGTATGGCTCAGTGGATTGAGCACCGGCCTGCAAACCAAAGGGCTGCTGGTTTGATTCCTAGTGAGGGCACATGCCTGGCTTGTGGGCCAGGTCCCCTGGGGGCGGGTGAGGCTCACATGAGAGGCAACCATACACTGATGTTTCCCTCTCTTCCTCTCTCCCTTTCCCTCTGTCTAAAAATAAGTAAAAAAAAAAAACAACAAAAAACTACTTAATTATAAACACTCTACCTACAAAAATTCTAAGTTATTTTCTTAATATGGAAGACTTAAAAAAAAAATATTACTGCTATGTCTTCCCATTGTTTTTCCTCCCCCATTAAGTCTCAGACATTTGTGCATGTTAGGTTCCTCATCTGCTTGTCAAACATTCCTCCTCTCTCTGTATTCCTCAGGTTTCCAAAATTTTGTCAGATGCATGTATACATTTTGTTAACTTTTCTGTCCCTGGAATATCTACCTATTGTTTGTTTAAGTTCATTCCACCTATCCGAAGCTCACTACTGAATCTCTTTTTAGTTAATCGGCAAGATGTTAACATGTTAGATGTTGATGAATGAAGAAGATAATGTTGTAGTTGTATCTTCTTTAATTCATACCACTGTTCATTCAATATTTAATTCAAAACTTTTATTCTCTCCTGAACTTAAAATTTTATGATCTTAAGAATGATCATAAGAATGGTTCTTAACCTGATACACTAATCTTTCAGCTCTCTACATATCTTTTTCAGAATACCTTTCCTAATTCATTAGAAGTTTGGCCACTTCTTGTACGTTCCCAGAGAACTTTTCTGGCCAATCATTGCACTTACCATGCTGAACTGAAAACTGCCTGTTTCTCTCCCCATCTGTACTATGAGCTCTTTTATTAAATGAGATCGGGTGCATTCAGGGTGGTATGGCCATAGACAATGAGCTCTTTTATTAATACCATCTCTAGCACCTACTGCAGTTCTTAGGAAGGTGTTTGGAAAGACTTACCAATGAATGAATTCCTTACTTCGGGAAGAACTCACTAACTGGTCTTGAAGAGATCCTCCTAATCCCTCAAGATTCCCCAATGGAAACATTCTTGCAAAGCTCTCTCAGGGTTACACCAAACAGATGAAACTCTGCTGCCTGAGGGTTCTAAGCATATAACTTTAGCTACTTGGTAAATTTCAAATAAAGCAAGTTTTCTTTTCTTTTTTTTTTTTGTGGCAATTTAACAATGACCAAATTAGGTTATCTGGCCTATAAATGCTTCTCTTAGTCCTAAAGAGAAGCATACCAACAGCTCCATTATTGAAAAGTAATTTTTTTTGTTATTTAAATTCTCTAGGATTTAGCTTTTTCTGTGTAAAATCTGGATAGTCGTGCTGAATAGCCATGGGGATGTAAAGTACAGTATAGGAAATGGAGTAGCCAAAGAATTTATACGCACGATCATGGACATGAACAATGGTGTGAGGGGACTGCCTGAAGGAGTGGGGGGTGCTGGGTAGAATGGGACAAAGGGGGAAAACTTGGGACAACTGTAATAGCATAATCAACAAAATAATTAAAAAAAATAAAGCTTTGTTCTATTAGTTGCAAAGCAATTTTTAGTCTTTTTGGATATATGAATATCGACCATAGGTCACATTTACATTATAATTCAACTCCCTGTTCCCCACAGTTCATGAGGGTTCTAAAACCAGATTTTGCAATCACTATTTTAATATACAAAAATAAGTGATCCATTAAAGTGTTAGAAAGGGAAAGTTGTTCTGATATATTTAATTTGCTGCAGAGGATTATCCTTGACTTACCAGAATCTCTCCTGAATTTTGTCAGAATAACATTTTAACTATCTTATTTTAAATTTTAATGTATTAGAGGACTCTGGCAGGGGATCAGTTTTATAAACTACCATAGCTATGTCCTTTTTTCTTCTGTGCCTATCTTCCTCTGTGTTCCATGCTGTTTTAACTTGTTTTCCTTTTTTCCTGTCCTACACTGTCAATTCCAACATTTTTGACTGAATCTCTCAGTGTGTATCAAATATACAAGGAAATAATGTGCTTAACAGTATCATCTTGCTTCAACAGATTTGCTATTATTTATCTCTATAATATCAGGAAAGCTATTTGTCTCATAGTATAAAGGAAGACTTACCTTCTACTCGTTTCTTGTGAAGTGGGGGCCGTCCTTTTTTATTCCTTACTGAGGAAGTTTTGCTGCTGCTACTTCCACTGTTCACAGACATTCTATCATCTTCACCTCCGGTGACTAACGAATTTCTATAGGAGATGAGCGGAAGCCATACATCTTCCCTCCTTTCCATCATTTGCTCCGTAAGGAATTTTTCAAGGTATGAGTGACTAGAAACACAATAGAAGAAGCAGTGATTTTCGTGGAGGCACTTAACTTTTTCATAACCCAAGGCTCTCTCAGAAGGTTCTGAAAAATCTCTAAGGAGACGCTTTTTGCATACAGCCTCTCCCCAGTAAAACAACCTTTTAACTGGTGAGAATTATAAAAGACAATAATTTCAAGTCTTTAGAAATTATCTTAAGGGCATATAGCAAATGGAGGAAACATTTATTTAAGAATACCTTCTAAATCTCAGCAAGAACAACGAATTTGTAGCATTTGAACCACATCCTGCATCATTCCCTTGTTCTCCTCTCCCTCACCACAGCTGTGTGTTCCAGAAACTCTACTCTGGGCAGACATGGATAAGAAGATTGGGGGTTCCCCTTCTCTCTGTTCAGAGCTGCTCTGGAAGAAGCAGGCCATCTGTACATGGTGAATGCTTTATTCTGGACAGCAGCTGGGAGCAACAAGGCTCCTCCACCACAAACCCCAACTTATTGGGTAGTAACTCCTACCTCGGGCACAGCAGGCTAAGAATACTGGGCCCTGAGTGCCCCACCTCAGCTCCCTTGTAGAGCAGAAATTCCGTTAACTAGAGGGGCAAGCCAAGAACCAGGGGTTACCTCTGGACCTGTGCCCATAGAAGAGGGGTGTTATTCTGGAAGGAAATGGATACTATCCTAGCACCCAGCTCCTGTTCAGTGGCATAAAAATTCTGCCCAGAGGCCAGCACACCATAGGATGAAGCTTTCCAGCTTATCTGGGAAGGCTGACTTTATTTGGAATAAAGTATACAATATTTCTTGTCTAAGGGTATTGGCAGCTCTTTATACTATAGGCAACATATAAGAGAGTAGAACAGCCAGAAATTAGAGAACCATCACTAAGAAGAGGCTTCCTGCAATGAGAAGGTTGTGCACACATGCTAAGCTGCACTCATTCATGGGCAAATAGAACAGGGGATGGGAACCCCTTTGAAATCATTCCCCAAACTGTACACAGATCTTGTCATAGGGGAGAAGCCTCACTGGCACAAGGGGCTTAAATACAACCTCTAACCAAACATTGGCTGAACAACAAGCTTCTCTGACTCAAGAGCAACTACTAAAAAGACAGGCTTAAAAAATAAAATCACAATACACTGGTTTCCAGTTCTGCAAGCAAAGAGCTTGTAGTTGCCAATGCATCCTAACAAGTAAAACGTTGAAAAAATTAACAACTCTTCTTAGATCTATAAGAGAAGAAAATCATTATGGAGACACAACAGCGGAGGTCACAACTTGATGGGACAAACACATAAGCAGAAACCACCTTGGGAGCCATTGCTGGGGGAGGAAAACCTATTCTGTAATTCATGAATTGCTGGAGGCACAGTGTAGACAAGTCTGAGAGTTAGAAGCTCCAGGGTACCCAGTTATAGGGGAGGCCCCCACAATACTGGAACAAGGGAAACAGTCAAATTCAACCCACTCTACTCATCCTGTTCCACCTGAGAGTGGAGAAGGAAAAAAACCCCTGAGCAGCCCATGTGAAGATCACAGTCCAGAAGCATAGCTCACTGAAAGGCTGAGACTTCATCATAGGACTACAGAATGCTTCCCTCTTCCTACTCCTGACCACCACATTACTAACTGCCTACCTACAGCAGTTCAATTTACCCAGTACATCATGTCCAGCTGTCAAGAACAAATTACAAGGCATACCAAAAGGCAAAAAACACAAGTGGAAGAAATGGAGCAAGATCATAACCAGACAGGGCAAAAAGGCTAGAATTTTCAGACTTGGGATAAACAACTATGATCAATATGCAAATGGCTCTAATGGAAGAAGAAGAATGCCACTTATGGCTTGTTAGCAGACTGGACATGGATGAGGAAAGAATCTTTGAGCTAGAGGACAGCTCAACAGAATCCTTGAAATGGATTTTCCTCATGGTCACCTGGAATATTCACTGAGACAGACCACATTCTGAGCCATAAAACACATCTTAACAATTTTAGAAGTATAGAAATCATACAATGTCCGTTCTCAGATTACAGTGGAGTTAAATTAGAAATCAACGTTAGAAATAAAGCTGGAATAATCTCCAAACATACAGAGATTAAATAACAAACTTCTAAATAACACATAGGTCAAAAACATCACAAGAAATTTAAAAATATTTTGAACTAAATTAAAAAGAAAATACAACTTATCAAAATTTGTGAGATGCAGTGAGAGCAGTGTTTAGAAGGAAATTTACAACACTGAATGTACATATTAGAAAAAAAAGAAAAATCTAAAATCAATACGTTTTCACCTTAGGAAATTATGAAGATAAGATCAAATTAAATCTAATGTGGGAAAAAAAGAAGACAAATTAGAGATGGAATTGAGAACAGGAAATCAGAGAAAATTGGCAAAATCAAAAGCTGGTTCCATTTATAAGCTTACCATTTATAAGATCAATGAATTTGATAAGCCTCCAGCCAAGCTAGTTAAGGGGTGGGGGAAAGGACACAAATTACTAATAGCAGAAATGAAAGAGAACACATCATTATACAGAACCTATGGATATTAAAAGGAAAATAAAGGAATACTATGAACAACTCTATGCGCAAAACTGACAATCTCGATGAAACAGACCAATTCCTTGAAACACACAATTTGCCAAAACTGACACAAGAAACAGACAATCCAATTAGGCCTATCTATTAAATAAATTGAGTCAACAATTAATAATCTTCCAAAACAGAAAGCACAGGGCTCTAATGGGTTCACTGGTGAATTCAATAAAATATTTAAGGAAGAAAACATATCAATTATCCATAGTTTCCTAGAGCATAGAAGCAGAGAGAATACTTCCTTTTTTTAAAAAAAATAATTGATTGATTTTAGAGAAGAAGGGAGAGAGACACAGAGAGAAACATTGATTTGCTATTCTACTTATTTATCATTCATTGGTAGATTCTCGTATGTGCCCTGATCAGGGATCAAACCCACAACACTTTAGCGCATCAGGACGATGCTCTAACCAAATGAGCTACCCGGCTGGCCAAGGTGAGAGAGTATCTTCTAACTCATTTTATGAGGCCAGCATTACCTTAATACCAAAACCAGTGGAAGACATTACAAGAAAACTTGAGACTAGTATTTTCATGAACATAAATGCAAGAATCCTCAGTAAATTAGTAGAGTCTAAAAATTTACTAAAAGAATTATATACACCATATTATAGAAATGTATACCTGAAACCTACATAATTTTATTAATCCTTGTCACCCAATAAATTCAATAAATAAAAATAACAAAGATGTTTTGAGCATCTTAAATATAAAACATTAAAAACTAATATATATGTATGTATCATGACCAAACCCAGGAATGCAAGGCTAGTTCAACATTCCAGAATTAATATAATCTGTTACATCAACAGGATAAAAACACTCAAGTGATCATATCAACAGATACAGAAAAGGCATCTGACAAACTCCAACACCCATTCATGGTAAAAACTCTCAGTAAATTAGGAACAGAGGGAAACTTCCTCAACTTGATAACAAATGTTAATAAAAGACTATACAACTAAAATCACACTTAATGCTGAGAAACTTGTAAGTTTTCTATTAAATCAGTTACAAGGCGAGAATGTCCCCTCTTACCACTCCCGTTTTCAACACTGTATTGGAAATTCTAGTTAATACGATAAGACAAGGAAATATAAAGTATACAGACTGGAAAAGCAGGAATCAAACTGTCCTTGATCACAGATGACACGATGAAAACCTGATGTAGGAAATCCTAAAGAACTGACAAACTTATGGAACTAATAAGTGATAATGCCAAAGTTGCCTGATACAAACAAAAGCCAATCACTTTTCTATATATCAGCAACAAACAAGTGGAATTTGAAATTAAAAAAACAATGCTATTTACAAGAGCACATTCCCCCATCCCCAAATTACTGAGGTATAAATCTAACAAAACACATACAAGGGCTATATGAGGAAAACTACAAAAATCCAATAAATGAAATAACTAAATAAATGGAAGGATATTCCATGTTCATGGGTAGGAAGAATCAATACTGTTAAGAAGTTCTTCTAATTAGATCTATAGACACAAGGCATTTCTGATCAAAATCTCAGCAAGTTATTTTGTGGATAATAACAAACTGATTCTAAGGTTTATATGGAGAGACAAAAGACCCAGAATATCAACATAATATGGAAAGAAAAGAACAAAGCTGGAGGACCGGTACTACCCAACTCTAAGACTTACTATAAAGCTACAGTGTCATCATTTCACAATATATACACATATCAAATCATCACACTGAACTCCTTAAACCCATAAAATGTTATATGTCAAATATATCTCAAAAAGGCTGGAGAAAAAGCTACAGTAGTGAAGACAGTGTGGTACTGATAAATGAACACATAGATCAATGAAACAGAATAGCCCAGAAAAAGACCTACATAAATACAGTCATCTGAGCTTTGACAAAGGAGCAATGGCAACAAAATAGAGCAAAGACAGTGTGTTTAACAAATGGTGCCAGAACAACTGGACATCCACAAGCAAAAAAATTAACCTAGACACAGATCTTAAATATTTTATAAAAATTAACTCAAAATGGATCACAAATCTAAATGTAAAACACAAAATATAAAACTTCTAGAAAATTACATAGGAGAAAACCTAGATGACCTTGGGTATAGCAATGACTTTTTGGATACAACACCAAAGGCAAGATCCTGGCATAAAATAAGTGATAAGCTGGACTTCATTAAAATTTAAAAATGTCTGCTTTGCAACAGGCACTGTCTACAATGAGAAGATAATCATAGACTGGAGAAAATATCTGCAAAACATACATCTATAAGAACTAATATCTAACATACAAAGAACTATTAAAACTCAGTAAGAAAACAATCCGATTAAAAAATGGGCAAAAGATCTGAACAGACACCTCACCAAAGAAAACATACAGATGGCAAATAAGCATATGAAAAGATGCTTCATATCATGTCATCAGGGAAATGCAAATTAAAACAACAATGAGATACTAATACAATGCCTATTAGAATGGCCAGAATCAAGAACACTAATACCAAATGCTGGCAGGAATGCAAAAATGCTACATCCACTTTTGAGAGACAGTTTTGTGGTTTCTTACAAAACTAAACACACTCTACCAATGTGATGCAGCAGTTGCACTCCTTGGTATTTACCCAAAGGAGTTGAAAACTTACATTCTCTTAAAAACTTGAAGCAGCTTTATTCATACTGTCAAAACTAGAAAGCAATGAAGATGTCCTTCAGTAAGGGTCTAAATAAACAGTACTGTGGCACATCCAGACAATGGAATATTCTTCAATGCTTGTAAGAAAAGAATTAGCAAGCTATGAAAAGATGGGAAGAACTTAACATGCATAGTACAAAGAGAAAAAAGCTGATGTGAAAATGTCCTGTATGATTCTAAGTATATGCCATTCTGAAAAAGACAAAACTATGGAAACTCAAACAATCAGTGTCTTCCAGGGGTTGGGGGGAGAGAAGGATGAATAGACAGAACACAGAGGATTTTTAGATAAGTAACAACTCTATGGTACCATAAAGATGGATACATGTGTTGTACATTTGTATAAACCCACAGAATGCACAGTATCAAGAGTGAACTGTGTGTAAACCACAATGGAATGAAATATGAAATCAATACTGGAAGGAAAACTTGGAAATTCAAAAATATGTGGAAATTACATAAAATACTCTCAATAACCAACAGATTAAAGAATAAATCACAAGCGAAATGGGAAAAATACTTTGAGATAAATGAAAACAAAAATGCAAGATACCAAAACTTTACAAGATACAACTAAAGTAGTAGTCCGAGGGAAATATATACCTGTAAATACCTAAATAAAAAAGTTTTCAAACCACCCCATCCCCATCAATACCCGGGCACCACTCATTGTCTATCAATTTCAGTGCCTGAAACTCTGGTTTGTATGTTTATGTTATGTCTCCCTGCATTAGAACATATGCTTTCTGAGGGCAGAAACCGTGTATTGTTTACTGCCTGGCCATATTAAAACAATAGCTATGGAAAAGTACTAGACACTTAATAATTACTTTTTGACCAACATCTTTCCTTAGAAGTAAGTATCACTTTTATTTAGATAAGCTTTAACTGTCAATCCAAATCTCTGTTCATTTAGCATATTATACCTGACTCATCTTCCTATCAATTTATAAACTTTGGGATCCATAACAAAATCACTTTCTGAAGTTTTCCATTTTTAAATAAAACTTATCCCATCAACATTTTTTTGAAAATAGCGTATTGTTTAATTTATTATAAAAAAATAGAAAATATAAAAATATCAATCTTTTTGATACAAGTCAAATAAAACTAAAATATAATTAATATAAAAGGGAAGTAGGGTTACACATGGTAATGCTAATGTTCATACATCTTTCAACTGCAGGGTAAGAAATCATTCCCACTTGCTTAACTTAATCTTGCAAATTCTAGGTACTGAAAGATGAGCAAACAAGTATACAAAAGCTTGAAAGAAAACTATAGTTCCTTAAAACAATCAGAGCCTGAAGTACCGATAGTAATTATATCTAGATAATTAAAATTTTTTACAAAATAAACATTTAAAATTACAGGAGTATCATGACAAAAGCCACTTCTGCAATGTGCAACTTACACAGTCTTTTTGTCCTGTCGAAGAAGTTTAGAAGAAAATTCACTTAAAACTTCCAGGAAAGCCAGATTAGGAGGTGGATATTCTTGTCCTTTCTGATTTTGGTATTTAAAGGCAAATTCTATGCCATCCCTGAAGTATAAGAAAATACCATTTTATTTTTCCAGACAGCTAGTGTAGTTCTCTCAATGGGCTAGAATTTCTAAAACAGGTGGGAAGGCAGCAAAATCATCATTAAAGGTAGTAAAATCTGGTATATTCAAATGGTTAAATGTTAACTGCATGATACATTTGCATAATATTATTTAATTTTTTTTTTACAGTATAAAATTTTAAGTTGTGAAAAGTAACTGCAGCTCTATGAGTTTTTGTAAGGTAAAATCTTCTGATATTCAGTTTTCAGTTATGAATTGAGGCTGACCAAATCAGTACTGCCAGGTTCCCATATTTTCTCACTGATAAACCAGATAAGAATATTTAGTTAAAACTTTACTTTCTATGCTTCATAAGATGAAAACTGAACAGTTTTAAGTTTTTTCAAATTAAAAACGGTCTCCTGGTTAATTAAGAATGATGAAATGACAACTCTCAAGTTTTTATAACTTAAAAATTCTATAACTTTTTAAAAAATGGGTCAAACAACAGTTATTTTAGTTAAATTCCAATAAACCAGCTTCTCTATAAAAGACTGTGTTTATTTAGCTTACTCACTTGTGAAGTGTGGCAACTGCTTCTCGTGTCTTGATTTGGTCCAGTCCAAACGTGAGGGCAAAGCGACGTGCCAATTCTTTAATGCCACTGACGTGGGCAGATGTCCTATCTAGATTGGGACCTTGCTCTTGGACAAGTTCATTAAACAGCTAGGAAAAGAAAGAAGAAAAAACCTACAGCTAAGAAATATTTATTTATTGCATTTATTGTTAGAATAAATATAGTAATTTAAAAATATTTAATAGGCACATTGTAAAATATGTATTTTCCTCTTACATTTAACTGTAGCCACACTGTTCCCTTCTCCAAGTCATATAAAAATGATCTTGAGATCATTTTTATGTTAGTTATGCGATTAAATACAAACAGGAATTTATCTTTTAATAAAAAAAAATAAAATGCATTTTAAGACCTGGGTGGTGTTCCTGGGTGGTTTGAGCACTGACCAGTGAATCAAAAGGTCGCTGGTTCAATTCCCAGTCAGGGCACAGGCCTGGGTTGTGAACTAGGTCCCCAGTTGGGGGCGAGCAAGAGGCAACCAATCGATATATCTCTTGCATGTTTCTCTACCTCTCTTTCTCACTCCCTTCCCCTCTCTCAAAAAGTACATATATATGTTTACTATTGTTCAATTACATTTGTCCCCATTTTCCTCCCATTACAATCCTCTGCCTTACCCATGCCACCATCTCCCATATCCAACCTATTTTTCTGACTCTCTTCATGATCTTGAATAATACTTTGAATACTTTGAATAATAAATACTTCAAAGATCTTGAGAAGTATTATTTACATTTTTCTTCACTTCTTTATCTCCCAATCTCCCAGTTCACTCTAGTCATACCATTCCACTGAAACAGCTTGTCTTCTATTAATTTTGTTGTCCACCTTCTTAGGTTTATTCAGCAATATATTCGCCTGGCCTGAACTGCCATGACTAAAAACAACAGTTTTTCTGGAGATTTTCAAACTTTTAACAGGTAATTTGTTTACCAATTCTTAAACTTTAAAATGAATACAAATAATATATTTCATTGTACAAAATTCAAAGAACATCAAATTAAAAGTTTTCCTCCCCTAATCCCCAACTAAATAACATTCTTTTCTCCAAAGGTAATCAGTGTTAAAGTTCAGATGTTTTTTACACCAGTTTAGAAACACTGATAGATCTTATATACAAAGTTTTTATTTTTACATAAATGGCACAATACTACGTATATTTTTTATTTAATGTTTTATCTTAAAAACCTTTTATCTACTTCACAAAATCAATTCATTTAATCATTCCTGTTGATGGACATTGAGACTATTTCCAATTCCTCAAATATTACAGAAACTACTGCAATGAAGCATCTTTTACATATATAGTGCACACCTGCACATATCTATGTAGATACCTAATAGCAAAACATTGGTTTTAAAAAGAATATATATCTTAAATTTTGCAATATACTGCAAAATTATATTGCAAGAAAACAAAAGTGATTTCATACGGAACCTTTTTTTCCTCATCTTTATCAATCATAGGTATCATCAACCATTTTAATTCATGCCAATCTATTAAACAGTAATAAATATCTTCCTGTTTTAATTTGTATTTCATTAATTACTAATGAAGTTATGCCTCTTTTCATGTGTTTATTGGTTTTTAAGATTTCCTCTTCTGAAAAGTGGCTTTTCATCTCTCGCTCACTTTCCTACGGGATTTATTTATCTTTTTACTGATTTGTAGGATTTGATATGTATCCTTAAAAACATTTTCCCCCAGCCCTGACTGGTGTGGCTTAGTGGGTTGGGCATCGTTCTGCAAACTGAAAAGTTGCCAGTTTGATTTGGTCAGGGAAAATGCCTGTGTTGTAGGCCAGGTTCCTGGTTGGGGGTGTGCGAGAGGCAGCTGATCAATGCTTCTCTCACACATCAATGTTTTCCTCCTTCTCTTTCTCCCTCCCTTCCTCTTTCTCTAAAAATAAGTAAAATTGTTAAAAAAAATACTTTCCTCCAATATCATTGGTTAACTTTGTTCACAGAGCTGGTTAATGATTAATCTATTTATAAGTTTCAATATATCATCAATTTACTTTGTGACTTCTTCAGAAGGAACTTCCCCACTCTAGGATATAAAAATATCCTATTTTCTTATAAACTTTTAATTTTTAACATTTATACATAATCCACCTAGAAGTTATTTTGGGTACATATTAGGTAGGGCTATAAATAACTACTGCCCCAAAGACAGTCAGTTGACCCATCACCATTCAATGAATAGGCCCATCATTTCCCCACTGATATGAAATGAGACCTTTATCATAGACTAAATACACATATACCTACGTACCCCCCAATCACTATATTAATTTACTAGGCATTTATTAGGAATCTATTTTTGCAATATATGTGACATGTTTCTGTATTTTTCTTTTTAAATATCCAACTTGGCATTTCATCTGGTCCTAGTGTAGATGACCCTAGGATTTCATCTATTTTAAATATAAAGTACTAGATTATCTTCCAAAAGAAAAGACACGTAACACATCTTCATACCAGAAAATGTTCATAGTAATTGATATATGACTTAATTTAAATGAAGTAAGATACATATACTAAACACAAGGAAGTCCTTAATATATTAATTCTACTTTTTCCTTTCAAATTTCTTACCTGTTGTAAACTGAGAATGAGGGTCTTGGCACACTGAATTTTATCAATCTGTCTGGTTTTACTCAGTGTTTCTTTAATAATATCACCATAGTCATTGTAATACTGTGAAGAAAAGAAAGAAATCATAGCTTTAAAATTGTTGAAATTTCATGAAAAAAATAATTAAAGTTTCATGAAATAAAAAAAAATGAGTTGGTGGCCCTGGCTGAGGAACTCAGTTAGGGCATTGTCCCAATACAACAAGGCTGCAGGTTTGATTTCTGGTCAGAGCACATGTAAGAATCAACCAGTGAATGTACAAGTAAAATCAATGTTTCTCTCTCTCTCAAATGAAAAAAAAAAGAATGGGTTGGTGAAAAAATACGTTAGTACAAAGGTGTCTAACTTCTTCACCTTAAACATAATGAGAGTTCAAAGATTTTGTCTAAACTTAAAGGACTACACATTTGAAATTTAAATTTATGAGATAACTAATAATCATAAAACTAAAAAACATCATTCAAAGAGAAGAAGTCATACAGGGTTAAGAGAATTCCTCATTGTTTATACATGGACTCCACAGACACTATTTAAAAAGTGACAAATGAAGAAAAACACTTGGGTAAAAACTTCCTGAAAAACTAAAATCAAAACAGTTAAACTTGCTTACCTCTGGGAAGTGGGACTAAATAAGGGGGAAGGGCAGATTAGGGTAACAGACTTTTCATTTAATACTCTGTGTACTATCTCATTTCCCACCCTAACATGTCTATATTTTACTATTATAATATATGATCTAAAGAGTAAAAACATTGCCATCTTCCTCAATAGTAACTGAGAAAAAATAAACTAATTTCTTTATAATTCAGTTATTTTGATACAGAATTTAAAGTATTTTTCTTGGGAGTAAATAATTAGGAAAAGCTTTATTTGAAACCATTAAATCTGGATGTTATTTCCAAGCTAAAACTGAACCCTATAAACCTATGTGAAGACGTCAGTGTATTAGTCAGGAACTGGATTTTTATAATCTTCAAGAAGGAGGGTATGCTTCCGTGATATAAGGTGCAACGAAGGAAATTTAATTCAAAAGAATCATCCTTTAAATGTAATTAAAAATGATCTCAATATAGGGGAAAAAAGAAAGATATGTTAATATACTCAAATGGTTCAACAAGCAGATCTCTAATAAATTCAGATTTGTAATGATTACATAGAGAAGTGGGACAAAAAGCCACATAGCCCAGAACAAAAGGTAGCAAAAAGCTAGCCATTAGAATACTCGCAAAAAGACTAAAGCCTATAATGATCAGGGGTGTGCAAGATTTGTAAAGATGATAAAAGTTTCAGATCAGTCTCACATCTTGACACCAATGCAGTATTATTAAGGGCTGACAAGAAAAAACTGTGATAAGCTCATATTCACCCATCCAAACCCTGTTTAGACATTAGTTTAGGAAGCCTTTTTTGGTTCCTCTGACTTAAGCCTTTCTCTATATCCTGGCCTGCTTTATAATTTGTACAGCTGTCAGTACAATAATCATGCTGAAGATTTATAGAAAGAGCTAGGCCTTACAGCTAGACAAACCTAAAATGAAATCCTAATTTTTGCTCCTTCAATATTTGTGTGACCTGAGGTTTAATTTCCTTATTTCTAAGTGATATGATTTTATACCTCACAGGGTTCCTGTAATTAACAAAAATACAGTGGAACCTTGGTTCTTGAACCTCACTCCGGAAAGTTGTTCAACAAGTTATTTGTTTCAAAACCAGTCTCCTTTGTTGCCTGAGAGGCACGTGACTGATCATACAGGTATCAGCATGGAAGGGTTGTCAGGTTGAGAACCAAAGTTTTGCTCGACATCTGAGGTTTGGGTGTAATGCAAAAGCCTTAGAACAGTGTCTCAAATATAAATGGCACAAAAAATATAAGCATCCATTCATTATTTTACTATGTATATATTTTAGTTTATTAATATATAAGCTCCGTAGTGCAGAAATCATGCCAATTAAATCCGTGGCAGCTAGCACAGTGCTCATCATATTGCAGCTGGTGGCAAAATATAATGAATTAGTTAATACATTATAACTAGGATTGGATTACACCTAAACATAGACAAAGACATAAGTGGATCAATGGCATACAATATTCTGAACATGAGAAAAATAAAAGTGTCTCTGACATGAGAATAAAATGAACAAAAAAAAAGTGTTCTCTCATCTCTGTGCCTGTCAGGATATATTACAGATTTTTGAACGCTGCTTTTTCAGGAACAAAATGGAGCTTTTGGAAAGGGGAGCAGTCAGGAAAGTAAGTACCTACCAAAATCCCATCATGTGAAGAATGAATTAAAACTCTTCTGACATCTCCTTACCTCCCTTAGAAGAACAATCCAAACTTTCTATATGGTATATTAGGTCTAACTTGTTATTTTTCTTTAAGCCTTATCTCTGACTCTGTTTTCATGAGCAATCTATGGTGTTATATCAAATTCCTTTTATTTCCCCCGTTTGGGGGAAATTCATATTCCTTGGTGATGTTCATGAAGTTCAATCAGTCTATAAGCCCTCCCACTACTACCTTGTTTGACTAATTTATGCTTCTTGTCTCAGACTTAATTCAGAAATCACATCTAAGCAGTTTTCATTAACTCTCACATTTCTTAAGAATTGGGTATCTGTTTTATGTATTTCCAGGGATCCCTATACATACCTCTAATACACTATATAATACAATTATTTAATTATATGACTCTCTCCAGCTTTAGACTGGAATTAAAGCAGAAATTAAAAAAAACAAAAAACAAAAAACACAGCTTTGTAACTTTAGCTCCTGGCAGGCAACATGGCACACAGTTAGCATACTTAGCCCATTTTTTCTATAGCTCACTTGTACTTCTCTGACTTTCTAAATAAAGTTTTTCTTATTTTTTATAAAAGGGAGAGAATACATGCATGGCCTCATGAAAATTACAAAAACATTCTTTCATATAAATGTGAGGAACTCCTACCTTACAGAATCGATATAATGGTATAGATACGGAGCTTATATAAAAGACAGAAAATTTTAAATATATCAGAAAACCCTCAATAACACTATATATAAAAGCTGTGAATTTTAGCTTCTGTCACCATCCTTTCCTTCATTTGTAATGATAGGTTTCTCTCCCAATTAGATGAAAGGAGAAAAATAAGAATATAAAAAATATACCTTCATGTAGTGTTTAAAGATGTCTGCAGCTGCATGCATGTCAACAATATCATAAATGATAAGTTTGCTGAAGGCGGCAAGTAGATTCCTTCTTTTATGTAAGGCCTCAATTTTATTTGCTTCATCTTCTTCATCACCCTCTAAACACAGAAAATAAACTGATTATGCACTTTATCCAGGGTAAAACAATGTAGAAAATATGTACAATAAAAAATCAGCTTATACCTTTACAAAAAGGTACAATTCAGTTTTAGATGGCATAAAAATATGTTAATTACGTTGATTATTTTAGGGTGCTATATTTAGTTACACATTTATCAAATAGTTGGTAGGCATTAAGGTTCTCATCTTCTAAGAGACTGTCATAGCAAACACTAAGATAAGCAAACCATATATTAAAAGATTATTTTTCTAATAGTTTTGTCATAATACCATTGTTTCTTTATATTGTTAATTTTGTCTTATTTCAATATCCTAATGTGCTAATATATTTCCACAGAGAAAAAAGTTCTGAAAATTTTTACGCCAAAGGGAAGAAATTTTATTTTAGAAAAATACATGGGGAGTAATGGAAATATAAGCTGGAGTTAATTTTCAATGCTTGTCTTAAACATGGTTATAATATCAACTGAAAAATAAAATATATTTTGCAAATCATATAATACACATATACATTAAAAAGAAAAATAAAACTACCAAATACTTTCAGAACATGCAGGCTTTCTTTCTCATTTTTTGAATTGAAGGCCCTACTGGCTTGTCTATTTCTAGTCCTAGGAAAACTCTCCACAAGGCTCCGGATAATAACATTTACCACATTTATTTCAGGCTCTGTACTGACTTTGTTACGTTTCTTTTTCTTTTTTCAAGATTTATTTATTTATTTATTTTTAGAGAGAGAGGAAGGGAAGGAGAAAGAGAGGGAGAGAAACATCAATGTGTGTGGTTGCTTCTTGCGTGACTCCTACTGGGGACCTGGCCTGCAACCCAGGCATGTGCTCTGACTGGGAATTGAACCAGGAACCCTTTGGTTCGCAGGCCAGCATTCAATCCACTGAGCCACACCAGCCAGAGCCAATTATTTACATTCAGTCTAATTTTGTTAGTTATCATTTACAAGCTTAGCACAATTTTGACTGGTGAGATCTGTTAAGTCTTTTAGCACTTACTATCTTACAGTTATATTTTGTTACTTTTAGTAATATATGACCACTTAACAGAAAAAAGTGAACAGAAAGAAACTGGTGCTTTCCTTCAGAAAAACTGTGAACCTGGATGCAGCTCAATTAGAAACAATATCTGTGCCACATATACATTTTGCACATGTGTGAAATGAAAAATGTATACAATTATTCATTACAGCAAGGCAAGGAGACTACATTGCACATATTTATTCCTTTTGGTTTCTGAATCATACAAATGTATTAACAGGTTTTTTTAAAAAAGGGAAATTCTAGTACTTTTTAGGATTGAATTTGAATGTTTTCTCATTTCTCTTTGGGGCTGGTAAAACAAGATCAATATTGACAAGATGATAGCTACAAATACCCATGCTCTGGTTCTCCTCATCCTGGTCAATGAAAACGTGATCCATCACAAAACTGAGGAGTTCAGACTGGAGTCCAGTATCTGGATTAAACACCAAAGGTTGAAGGCCCTCCCTGCCACCTGTCATTAATTGGTGGCTAAAAATCATCAAAAGGTCACAGAGTAACATGAAAGCCTGGAATACAAAGGAAATTCATCAGTAAGATATTGCTACAACTAAAAATCAACATTAATGAAAACATGCTAAATTAATATAGTTCAATAATAGTACCATAATAGAAACTTTGGGTATTTAAATTCTAACTACTTAGTTTTAAATTTTCCAAACTTAATAAAATTAAACATTAGTGACATTTAAAATTCCTTATCCCCCAAATATAATCCATTTATTGTATTTGGCTATATTAACTCAAACAGCTGATTAAAGGATTTTGACTTAAGCTTAAGATACAACAACTTAAATTCAACTCTGGAAATACAAAATTGATACAATAAATTATGACAGATGTTAGAAATCAATCATATACTGCTTAACCTTTAATAATAAGCATAAATCTTAAGACAAAGTACAGTTCCATAAATTACAATGCAGTACTGTAAATCTGTAAGCTACTATTTTGGATTCTTCTTGTAAAAATTTAATATATAAAAAAATTTCTATCAGTAGGTTTAAAATGGAATTCATGATCATTAACATAAAAACCAGTACCTAAAACTGGTTTCCTTTCAATGCATTTCCCCAAAGAGAAAGTATTATACTTATGTTGCCAAATTTGTCCTATTTAATGCACGGTATGAAATAAACCTGTAATCAGTTTATGGTTAACTGAAAGATTTTGTTGGTAATTGAGGGCTATGATATTTCAAAACAATCCATTCACCGCCCCCCACTTTCAAAAATTGATTTCTATGGGAAAACACAACTCTGGTATAGATTTGGAGATTGCTTTGTACTTTGCTATCCACCTCCAGCAAGAATCAGACTCTGACTACACAACCATAAAATACATAAAGATATTTAGAAAGAGCCACTTGACAAATGGAGCATGAAGAGAATCCAGGAGAATTTTTTAAAAATCAAGGCCATAGTTTCAGGTATCATTTAATAGTGATGAAACAAAAACAATGAATTTTTGGTTTAAATGTCCAGAGCTAAATAATTTTAGATAGCAGTGGTGGTGTTCAGAAGATTTAGAGAACAAGGTTTAGGGAAGAGCATCTCTGTTCTCATTTTACGTTAGATGCTGATAATTCAATAAAGAAAAGACCCATATAACCTCTCTCTAGGAGACTGCAAAGGGTAAGTACTAATGTACACTTTCCACGGGTGCCTAACCCGTGGCCCACAGGCTGCATGTGGCCCAGTATGGGTATAAATATGGCCCAACACAAAATTGTAAATTTACCTAAAACATGATGATTTTTTTTGTTTTCGTGTTTGTGTATTTAATGTGTGGCCCAAGACAACTCTTCTTCCTCCAGTGTGACCCAGAGATGCCAAAAGGTTGGACACCCCTGCTAGTTAATACTCTTTTTTCCCAGTGCATCATAATAAAAAATAGTATGGAAAATGTACATTCTGTTTTGTATTAAAGTACTTCCTAACAGAAATACAGTAAAATAGCTGACAAATTTATTTCATGGGAATGGTATTGCCTTGGGCTGTACTTTGACCCTCTTTGGGCTGCGCCCCTTCTCAAGGGTGAGGACTCTGTTGGACCAATGGCATATGCCCACCTGCACCCCTACTTCTATACTGCAGCCCCGGGTCAAGTACTCAGGGGTTCCTTGCCTTAAAAGATCTGATTCTGCTACTAGAGCTCGCACAGGCTTCTTCTGCAGGTCCACTGCATCTCCAGTGTGCATACTCTAGGTCCCAGGTGGTCAAGGAGCAGGTATATGAGGCAGAGATGCCGATAGAGTTTGGACATGTGGGCTAAAGTGTTCATATGCCTGTGTGAGAAGGTTTTCCTAGTGTGGAAAAGAGCTGAAGGTGAGATGAAAAACGGGCAGCTCATATGCTGGATGTCCACGTTCTCGCATAGAATTCTTCGGAGTCAAGAATTCTAATTTGAACCAGGCCTTCCTGATCATTATGTCAGCACACTTGTCAAGATAAAAAAGACATGTAACAGGTTTGTTATCTTGCTTTGTAACTTAAATAGGTATCTATATTCTTGTCCTAAGTCCATTAATGTTAGGGAATAACTTTTATGTTAAGAACTGCAATAAAAAACATTACTCCTTCTTACATGTTCCTCAATGCATTTGAGTTATTTTTATTGAGAGGTCTTAACTAATAATTTCTTACCTGTTCCTTCACTGGAGTATTAACATTAGATAGGCACTGTTGGCAAACAGCCAGAAAAGATTTCACTGTTTTCCTCAATACCAACAAATCCTCCTGTAAGACACATTCAAATTTGCAAGCATGAATTACAGTATCCTAGAAAACTGATCCAGAAAAAAATAATAAATGGAAAATAGCCACACTGCCTTAATGTCAAGGAAATTCATAAAACCAAATTTACTGTTGGGAATGAAACCATATTGTTAATTTCCTAGTTATCCTAATGGAGGGGTAACAAAATTGATAATCCCAAACAGTTCTATTTAGTTATGGAATGCTCAGTATGATGTTCTCCAACAAATTTTCCTTTATACATATGGTTTAAGTAGGCTGATATTAAAATTGTTAGTCTTCCCACAACACATTCTAGATGGTAGGTTGTAAGGTGAGGGAGCACAGCAGCACACTGAAAAAATCAATTAAGCAACAAATCTGTACTGAGTTTCTCCTATAGTCTCAGCATTCTGCAAAATGTCAAGGGAAGACAGTTAACTTTAAGACAATGCCTATGTCCTCAGAGTTAACATCCTAGCAAGAAGTCAGACCAATTAGAAAGTAAGTGTTCAAATTTTTTTGTATTAACTGTAAGCAGGGAGAGATGAGCTGGAAGGGCCTTCATAGGAGGATGGGCTTTAATCTAAGATTGGGTGGGTGAATAGGATTTAAGTAGATGGCTATATAATATTTTATAGGGAATATTTCAAAAGTATAAAAGGAAATCTAAATTTATCAAGTACCTATAATATGTCAGGCACTGGTCTGAAGGTTTACTGCTATATAATTTACTACTTACATCGATTAGAAGTAGTAGTCATTATTAGCAAGGGTTTGAAACCAGGACTGTCTCCTACCACATCTCATATTCTTCTTACTTACTAATGATAAGATTCATGCTGATAATTCAGTATTGTGTTGATATTTAAAATAGTAATGAAAAGTAATTAACTGAGCAAAGACAGATATAGAAATCACTTTTAAAAAACTCTATTAAACTAAAATCCCTTGAGCTAGTTTTTTATACAGATGACAGTACTCAATCCTTTCTTGGACCCTTACATCCTAAATAATGAAACTTAAAAAATTACATATATGTTTCCTTTTGCTAACGTGACTGCAGTACTTGGGAGAAGGAATAGCTCATCTTGTGCAAAGTATTTAAAAAAAAAAAAACACTGCCTTGTAAACCTTGAATATTTCTTGTAGATGAACATCCAATAACTAACATCAATGTTCCTCGACCTTCTTTTATTTCAAAGTTACACAATGCATTAGATAAAATTTATAATGAACAAGGAAACAGGCAGCTGAATTAGAATAAAAAGAGTGCTATGTTGGAAACCCAGAGTCAAAAGTAGTCACAGCAGAGTTTCCAAAGAAGATAACATGTAAGCTGAGTTCTGAACAACTATTAAAAATTATCTAGCTATAGAAAAAAGTGTCCCAGAAGAGGGCACAGAACGTTCAAAAGCTTGGAGGTGCTTTTGAGAGACTGCTAATTTATTGTAGCTGGGGCATAAATAGGGAGTCAAATGGCAAGAGAGAAAGCAGAAGTGGAAAACAGGATCCATTTCCATTTAAATGAAAGACTATTAAAAAATACCATGTTAAATCATTTGGATATTAATCTGATGGCAATGAAGCACCACTGAATAAGATATTTTATCAGAATGCTAAAATTTTGTGCCAAAAAATCATCTTCTAAGCAGAACAGGAGAATGATGTGAAATACAGAGGCTAGTTAATAGTAGATATAATCTGTAGTGGACTTACTATGTACCAAGTACTACTGTATTCTAATGACCATAAATTTAAATCTCACAATCACTCTATAAATTAAGTGGTAATACTCCTATTTTACAGATGAGAAAACTGAAGTTACGAGCATGCAAAGATTCTAAGTGACTGAGTAAGAACTGAAACCTAGGGTTATTCTGACTCGAATGTCCATGTTCTTAATCATTACTCTGTATTTCCTTACATATTAACAAAGGCCATAGGAATAATCTCAAATGAGGGCCTGGAAATAAAATGTTGGCTGTAAAAATGTGAATAGTGTGGATGAAAAAAGAGGTTCTATGAAAAGTAACTTCACAGGGTGATCTAATAATAAATTCCTAACTGGGCAGGTCATGGTGGGTAGTCATGCCCTTGGCATATAACTTCTTTAGTAAAAAGTTAATCTTTGCTTTAAGCAAGCCCTATTTGTTGTTTCTGTGCATCTAGGCTAATATACCTTTGAAATGCCTCTCTTCAGACTCCTTCTAATATGTCACCATACATTCAGAACCCCGTTTCTCAAGTGTGACTGAAATAGGATATGTTTTAAAACAGCTGTAACCAATAAGGACTTGGTTACAAGGACTTATCATGGATATAGTAAGACTCCATAGATTTATGGCTTAGAACCAGCAGTAGACCACCTTGATCGAACATGGTGACTAATTTCACCTTATGGTAACTTTCTGTCTCATCATATGCCCATCGTAACACATTACCATATTAATAACATAGCTGGCGCTGCCATGATCAGAAACGGAAAACCCATGTAAAGACACAAAATGGCCAACAGTGTTCTTCCAAGAAGTCCCCACCCCCTTCCCAGAGAAACTCTGAATACTCCTCTCCCTTACGGAATGCCTTAACTCTCTATTAAATAAATGTCAATAAAAAGTAAATCCCACTAGGGAGGGGTTGCTCTCCCTAAGGAGCAGCCTTCTCTCTGTCCCAGTCCTTCATTAATAAACTCTTTCACTTTAAACTCTATGCTGGTCTTGTGTTTGAATTCTTTCCTGTGTGAAGCCAAGAACCCACAGTGGGTTGCAGACCTTTAGTTCCCCTGACCACTGTAATGCCTGCATCATCTCTACCCTCAAGAGAGCACACATAATCTTAACTATTTTGCAATCCAATCTCTGTCTTGCTTTCTCCCACCTTCATGTAATCCCCGTATGTTCTCTCCTTAATTTCAAATGCATAAAAGAAACTACAAAACTGCTCTCCATAGCATTTGACATCTTGCTCTCTGGCATATGTCATCAGTTTGGCTCAAATAAACTCATAAAAATTCTCTAAAGTTTTTGATGTTTCTTATGTTGACAACAGATTGAAAAGAAATTAAAGCAGGAGAACTGACAGAATTTAGGAACTAATCAGAATAGGGGCTGTTGATGATTACACCAGAATTTCTAGGTAGTTGCTCACTAGATGGATTAACACATAATGAAATGCTAAGGTAACAATTGAATTTTAGAGATGATGATCTGAGACTCCTGTAACATCTCCAGCTGGAGATGTCTAGTAGACAGCTGGATGTATAAGTTCAAAATTCATGAGCAAGAATAGAGATCTGGGAGTCCTTAGCATTTAGACGGCAACATAAACAATGGAAATAGATAAGAATGTTTAAAGAGAATAAGTAGAGAAGGGTGACCAAAGTATCTTGAGAACAATATTAAAAGGTGGATAAGAAAGAAGAGCTTATATAACAGAATGAAATGCTTAGCCTCTCTGATTCCATTTGTTCAAGTCTGCTTAGTTATCATGGCCTCCTGATTAATAGTTTATGCCTAGTCTTGCCTATAAACATGCTAATCATTACAGGAATTCTGCCTGCACTTGAGTTTTTAAAAAAATCCCCTTATCAGAAAGTGCCTCTCCTGAAAAGGGAAGCATGTACAAAAATGACTTTATCAAAGATTTGCAGGAACCTCCTGACTGGACTCACATCAACTAGAGTCCATAGACTAATAAAGAAATTTCATAATCTTCCTCAGATATTTAAGTATCCAGATGTTTGTCAATTGCCTCTTGCTCCTGCTGTTCCTCCTTCCTTTGACATAAAAGAAGATTCAATTCTGTACTTTCTTAAGCTGGTTCTTTAGTACATCAGTCTGCCATCTGTTTAGCTGACTGGCTTTCCGAATCAAGTCACTTTCCTTGCCCTAAGACCCTGTCACTCAACTTACTTGCTGTTGTGTGGTGAGCAGTACAGCTTGGATTCAATTATACTTATGAAGAAATCTAAGAAACGGTCTCAGAAGTAGGAATAAAACCTGAAGAATATGGCAACCCAGAAGTAAGGAGAGAAAACATTTAAAAATAGGTGGAGTAATTTAGAAAAATAATAGGGATTGAAAGTATCCCAAAGATATAACAATGATGAAGCTGTGATTGACATTGGGGACAGTACTTTCAATGGAATTACAAGGGCTGAAGTCAGATTGCAGTGAGTTGAAAGAAAGACAAAGGAGGAGGCAAATCTTTCAAATATGTTTGACTGTAAAGAGTCAGAGAAAAATAGGATGGCTGCTACATAGGTCTTCTGGAACTGCTGAAGGTATTTTTTTCTTTTTTGGTGTTTGTTTACTTTTCCTTTTATTTTTATGCTTCCCCCCCTTTTTTCCTATATATTTATTTAAAAAATTGTTTTCATTTATTTATTTAGTTTGTTGACCTTTTTCATACAAAGATTAAAGAATATTTGCTGGATGAATAACCAAAAGAAAAAGCAAACCATGCTACTAAAAGGGAGCAGAGTTTGCCACCCCAAAAGATGCCACTAGAGATACTGTTTCAGGCTGGTTAACTTTAAGAAAAAACAAATGTGGGAGAGACTCTGAAAACTAAGTAGAAACTGTAAAAGACATTTACATTTGTAAGGGAAATCTCCATTTGTAGGGGTGTTTCCCTTACTGTACTTGGCCTGCTTTCACTATCAATTGAAAAGGCAGGGGCTTACATCTGCAAAACAATCTTATTCTTTACTGTGCTTTGCCTGGTAACATCCCAAAATTGACTGCCCACCCCCAATATCTTTTGGCTTTAGCTAAAGGTGATGGTTTCCACCTTTTTGGTGAGTTACTTAATGTTCCTGGGTTTCTCCTGTGTATGTAGGAAGTTTACATTGTGGATGAAAAAGGGGTTCTATGGAAGGTAACTGCAGAGTGTGTTTGTATCATAAGCTCCGAACTACACAGATCATGGTGGGTAATCCCACTCAGGCATTTTTAGTGAAAGATTTTAAGCAAGCCTTATTTATTGTTCTTGTACATCTA